AAATCACGTGTAACCCTTTTTTAAAAAAATTTATTGCATTTTTGAACGAATCACGAAATTGCAATTTTTGAAATTTGGGCGCGTGGCGCAGCAATAGGAGGTCTTTAGACCGAGCCAACCATACAACTTGCTGCTCCTCTGATAAATTGCAGGTGAATCAGATGAAAGATTAGATGATCTATTCAACCTATTTGATTCGTAAATTTTGGTATTTTTTTTTTGTCATTATTTTCTTATCGGTTATCACATTAGTATTTTCCATAGAGTTTCTAAATTTGTACTAATTATACGATGAATTTATGAGTATTAATATAAATACAATTGGTTCAATTTTTTTCATACTGTGGAGTCGATTAATTAAATAACTAATTATACATCAATTGAAGGCAAAAAGGATAGACCGAAACTGCATCCTCGAAATTTAAAACATGAAAGCTCATCACAACAAAAACATTTAAAAATAAGAAATATCTTTATATTGACAGCCATATATATTGCAACAAGCCATAATGGCGAATTCATTGTAACTTTTAGTTTTGGTTAAAAAAAAATCAATAATTAATAATTTCATTAATATAATTAATTAATATTAGTATTACAGTTACATTCACCATGTCAGCTGATTTGGTTTTTTGGACCCTTTTCTCAAACCTTATATCTTATTGTGCCTTGACGTTAACACGAGTATTTTTGATGTGTAAACTGGTCAGTAGAATGATAATTAACCCTAAAAAAATTTACTTGACCCGCTAAAAAACTATTTTACTATTCAATATCCCGCCAAACCAATGGCCCTACCTCAAAACCAATCCGTTTTTGCTAGTATAAAGTATTCATAACGTTATGATCATACCGTACTGAATTTTGGGTTCAAGCAAAATCAGCGCATATGCAAGACAGAAAATATCAAAAAAGCTTTTCCGATCAATAATAATATTCAAATAGATGCAAATGCATCAGTTTTTCAAACAGATTTATGGTGGTCTCAAATGCCATAAAAATTGATGATATATTAATTGCTCTATCATGTTTTGAAGGTAAAGACATGAAGTCATCCTCATTCACCACAAATGATTACTAAAAAGGTGATGGTGTCTTGATTGAGTCAAGTACCTGGGTATTTTCTGCTGTCTATGATAAACAAATTCAAACAGCTATCGACAATATCGGTGGTGTTGTAAGATTTTTAGATAATGTTGTTTTACCATATTAATTTCATTCAGATAAAGGCTCGGATTCAAATCTTGAATTAGAATTGATCTCGATGAACTCCTTAGTGATATATAAATCAATTATTTATCCACAACTCAAATATAGAATTCCAAAAGTCCATTTTTTACAATTAATACAAAGAATTTTTATTTCCTCCAACCAGCGTCTAAAATAGATCCGAGAAACGCTCGTCCTGAGCATAATAACTTATTTGCGCATGGTATAATTTTAGAGATGCGTACCGTTTGACCTCAATTTCATTTGGATGTGCGTTTATGATAATCATAAATTTTATGGATTAGGTGTGCAGATTAATCTTTTATTTTTTTCTATGATTTTTTTTCTTAAATATAAGATATTTTTTTTATTCACTTCATTCACATTACAGCTTTTGAAAAGTATTCAATAATGTATAAATTTGTACACAAAAGCGAAAACATAAGGAATCACTGGACAATAATTAGATAAAAAATACGTGAAGATTTTGATCCAAACTGGTTACGAATATGCTCTCGGCTTGAACAAGTGAAGATAGTGATGAAAAGGTGACAATGTTTTGCAGCTAGTGCAAAAATGCAGAAAGAAAAATGTTTTCACAACGGGTACACAATCATACCGAAAGCCAACAATTGAACGGCATATAGATATTGATGATCATAAACTTGTTAAGTAGCTTATTTATGTGAATTATATGTAAAATTACTGACAGTACATTGGTTTGCTAACAGTGGTGGTCAACGCACTTTAATATGATACAATGTGTTAGTACTGTTGTACGTGAAAATGAAATTATGTGAATTCGCGATTCACATATGTGAAATTCAAATTTACATGTGTGAAATTCAAATTAGCCAATTAGAATTTCACCCCACTCCATAATATTTCAATTTCACATACAACAGTACCATACATAATTTTGATCCCCGTACAAAGTTGATACATATACAGTAGTTTACACACTAGTAACCTAGTGATTTTATTACATAAATGCGTTCCAATTATTAAAGTATCAACGCTTTTGTTATAAATTTGAGATTCTCTTTATCTCATTATGAGGGCATGATTGCTAATTTAAATTTAAATGTTATCACTTTATATTTGGTCAAAATGGGTACAGCAGGAAATTTTTATTATAAGTCATCCAAAGCAATTTTTTATGTCATATGAAATTATAGGGAAATATGCAAGGGTTAAATTGCAATTGATATAGAAGGTTTGTGATCTTTTCCATTTAAATAACATTCTAAAGACTCTGCTTATTAGTATTGACAGAAATTTATCGTTAACATTTTTTCATAATTACCTGATTCAGATATCGGAATCATCTGATTTTTTTCCTGATTGTTGAAATGCTTCTTCATTTACTATACCCGAAAATAAATCTTCATTCATTGATCCGTGAATTAATTCTAATCAAAATACATGTTGCGAATTTCTAAATAATTGTTATCATGATCACCATTATTGTTATCAATATTAATATAACCATTATGATTATCACTTTTATCATCATCACTTCTAAACTAATTTCTACTTCAACCCTTTTCTGATAAAGTCTGGCCAGCATGTTTTAAATTTTTTTTAATATTGCCTAGGTAAAAGAATCAATATTATTTACAGAATTAATATTTAGATTTTGACAATTCTTCCCATAAAGTCTCCCTAAATACGAAAAAAATGCGTTCACATTCACCACTATGTTGAATAATTTAGCGGCTAATTGTTGTAGTTGTAGTTCATGACGATTGGGAAGGAATTGGCGAATTAGAATTTGACATCATGAATTCAATTGGTTTGTTTTGTCATTTTCGTCATGTGACGAAAAGGAAACCAACTTTGAAGTTTCTTTAAAATTTTCGATGGTATATTGTGAGATTTAAAATACTTTACAATTTCTTTATTATCATCCGTAATTTTCTTTATCCAATCCAATTTGTTATATTACCAATCACAAGATTTATTATCAAACCTAAAAATGTTACATTAGGATAAAATTTTCCATGCTTTTTTCATAACAGAAGCATTATTTGTTATATATAGCTGAAAGCTTATTAATACTGATAATTTATCACATTTTCTAAGTCAATGGTAACACTTTCAGCATTTTGTTTCACTTTGCTAGCTGGATGTGCTAGGAGAATAAAATCTGTCCGATGTTCCTGCACCAAGTTAGACTTTACATTAACAATTTCTTTCTTCCAGGTAATTTAAAAGGTGATTATGCTTTTTTCATAAACTTTGTATTGGTTTTAATTCGGATAAAGTAAGTAAATCACATTGGTAAATTGATTTTGCAAACAATAGCATATAATAGTTCCAACTCCACTTTTTGAAATTTGATCTACGAAATTAATTAAAAAATTCGTTAGAGGTTTTAGTAAAAATTTTGAATTTTAAGTTTTATAGTGTTAGCCGTTATAGAGAGAATGAATGAACCGTACTAATAATTGTGCATAGTTAGAATCAGTCCAAAAAGAAACACGGAAATTATAGCATCTTCATCTAAAATGGCGAAAAATTTTGGATAAACAAAACAAGATAAAAAATAAAATGTACCTTCCTGTATGGATATCATGATTTACGGGAATCTTGAGTTGATTATATTGTTATTGGATAAGAATATGTAAAATAAGTAGTTTCATTTCAGATAAAGAATTGTATAGTGAGTTGAGCATATTTGAAATAGAAATTATTCTGAAATCGTTAAAATCTGCAATTTTCATCAACATTAATAATTATAGTTTGGCAGCTCAGAAAAAACCTGCAGGATAAGGAATGATTTTGGCTATGAACAAATAGTCAGGTATCTTCTTGGTTGAAGAGCAGTGTCGTACTAGCTTGGGGAATATTTGCATTTATAGAACATAATCAAGAATTGGACTACTACTGAGGCGATAATTTATTTTTGTGGGAAACATCGCCAAATGTTGTTTGTTGGTTTAATAATGCAATTGTGTAATAAGTATTAGTTCAACTAATTATTTTATTACTTAACAGGTAATTTAAAATTTTTAAAAAACAATAAATTGTAAAAATTATTCTTTTTATAGGTTATATATATACTGTATGTATATATTTAATTATCTTTTTTCTTTCCATATATTCTAGAGAATTGAGCATATTTTTTTAGTATTACATAATAAACATGAAATAAAGAAATACTAGAAGAGATGAATGAATATTTACCTATAATTTTTTATGTAAGTTTTATACTCAACATCTTCTAAATGGCATTGCCTAATCATTTCATCATATTCTTCTAAACTTATCCCCATAATTGATGAAAGATAAGGTCTAATAGTTTCTATTGAATCAGTTATAACTTGTCTGAACTACATAATTGAATAATATAAATAATAAAGATTATCTATTTGCAATCATAAAAACATTATATTAATTTATTAAAATTAACAATATTAAGATATTTTACCATTTCACCAACTATACCATGACCACCTAATGGAAATTTTTTCATTGGATGATCTATTTCAATTATTTTATCAGAAGTTGTTAGTTTTTCTTCAATATATTTATAAATTGATCCATCTATTATACCACGTGATTTGCGTAATTTTGTGACTAATTTAATTGATAGTTTGTTAAAATTGTTAAGCAAGCTTTAATAAATAACATTAAAAATAACATTAAACAGCTTATTAAATGGTTATTTACATTCAGTGGTAAATTTTGTTGTCGTTGGACCCATGGAACATGGAATGGGTTCACTTTCCTAATATTAATAATAATAATGATGAATAATAAAGTTAATAATATAACCATACTTTCATTATTGTATTTTGTTATAATTACCATAAATTCAATCCAACCACCAGGTTTAGTTATACGTATCAGCTCATCAATTACAAAAGGCCATTGATCAATTGTTAGTGAACCTAGCATACTTTTTTGATGAACAAAATCAAAAGTGTCATCTGGAAATGGTAAACCATCAAATATATTATGTTCAATTACTGCTAAATTTTCTGGTAATTCTTTTTTAGAATCATTCAAATCAATTACTATATCAATTCCAACAAATGATGACTTTGGAAATTCTTCTGCCATAAACATTAACCAAGTCGCAGGTCCACATCTGAGAAAACAATTATAATTAATTCATAATTATGGATTGTCATAGGAGAAGTTTGACGATTTAATTAAAATCAATCAACTTACCCAATGTCTATTACAGATGCACCGCCATTCTTTAATGTTTTTTTCACAGGAGAAGAAAATTTGCCATTCCATATATGTTGTGATAAAACTTCTACAATTTCCATTATAGACATTGACTATAAATAATAGAAAGTTTTAGAAAGTTGTAGGGAGTTAATAATTAATTAACTTACAATTTACCTTATCGTCAACAGGCAAGAATTCACAAGATTTTTCGATATTAATAAATTTTCTACCATCAACAGTTATAAAATTCTCAAATGTTAAATCATCATAATCATCATCTTTTTCTTTTTTATAATCATCAATATCTTTGTTATTATGAATTGTTTTTCCCTCCTTCTTGTTACAATAATTTTCTAACGGATGTGAATTTTTACGATTTATCGACTGTCTATGGTGCGACATTATTTTTTTTAATTTTTAATTTTAAAATTTTTAATATATAATTAAATTAAATAAATATTAATTTTTTTAAGATTGAAGTGTCATTAAATACTTTTATACACGGTAAAATTATTTCCACATTATCTTATTCAATTAAACAATTACACATGAACAGAAATATATAAAAAAAGATTTTGTTTTTAATATTAATATTTTTAATATTACACAGGTAAACTCGATAAGTCTGTCATTGTTTAAAGTGATTGATAATCAAACATATCGAATCTAAACAATTTAAACAATTACACGAGAATAACATTTAAATTGGAAGAAATTAATTTACGATCCTTTGAGAAAAATAATTTTTCTGTTAGAACTTATTCTATTATTGATAAGTAAATAAATACTATATTTTTTTTTGTCTATGTCTATAATCAGTGTTTTATCATCTTTATCTTCGATCAAATTCATGATTTTGTATCCCGAATTTTTAATTATAAATTCTTTGAATAACATCATCATAATAATATTTATATTCATCGGCAATAACACTATCAACTAGACTTATATATAAAGAGAAGACAAAACCAAATTTATTACTAAACTGCCGAGACAAATTTTAGGCTATATCTCCAGACATTATTAAAATTCCTTTTTTTAAATTGACGTGTGAAATTTAAAGCAACCAATCAATAAAGAAAATTTGAACTTGAACACCGGCAACTCTTGAGTACTACTTGCATCCGATGTCACTAAAGCATGGCTTCCTGAAACGTTAATTCATGTGTTATTATTATTATTGACGTATTTATGTAATTAGTGTAATAGTAATAATTGATAGGAATATCCGTAGTATTTGAATTATAAATTATCTCTGTTTTATTGGTTTTATTTATGTCAATGATTTACATTACGGCCGATGTTTTGTTTGTTTTGATAATAATAAATGGTGGAATTCCATCCTAGTGGAGATTTGATCTTAACGCCAAATAACTGCGGGTCGGGTCCTTGTTGTAATTTAGATCCAAACTTAACCTAATAATTGCTTGGGAAAGAAAAAAAATTAGAATATATACACTACATGGACAAAGTCGGGCTCACTAACAATTAAAGAAATAAAAAATTTATTCAACGATATTTTTCCAAATTAATTGAGCAAAAAACCATTTGACAATTGATAGGAAATGATTTGAATGAGTATTTATCAGCTATGCTGTTTTGAATCTTTTTAAACAATCATCATTTTTAATAAATTTTGAATAAATTCTTTCGAAAATTTCAAACTGAAAGTCAAAAACATGGTGAAGTCATAAAATAATATACCGAACCATAAAATAACTAAAATTGTTAATGTTCATTGAAAAGTAGTGACTTGTACTATTCAAAAATATATTGAAATTATCACAAATGATCTCTTAATAGATTGATTGAGTGTGCCAAGGAGGGTTGAAAAATAACGAAATATTGTGTAATTTTGTATAATTTGGTGGACCTAAGTTGCAAAAATTATTTATTATAACAAAGAATCTATAAAAACACTATATGGACAAAAGTTGGGCGCACTTTTAAACAAAAATTGCATATATATGCGCACACACTTTTTCGAACCAATAACTTGAATGCAAAATATTATCAAAACTACTAGCTGTAGAATTGTTATTAAAGATAAAGTTAGTGGAAAGTGATGATTTACTGAAGTTTTTGATAAAGATGATAAGTTTTGTGGTTATTCCTACAAAGGTAAAGAAGATATAACAAAAAAAAAAATAGTAAATTTTTCTTGTAATTTCTATTCAACATCGTTTAATAAAAAAGATTGGGTTGAGATAAAATAGTAATAATAGTAATTCACAACAAATCGCATCCATTAGCATATCATACAAGTAGAATATTAAATGACGAATTTGCTAAATTGAATTTAAGTAATGATAACTTATTAAATATGAAATATAATTATAATAAGTTAAATTAAATAGTTGGTTAATTAATTGAAATCTATTAATTTAAATAAAAACAACGAAAACAACAATAGTAATAAGCAGTTGAAAGGAGAAAAGTTGGAAAGTTGGACGAATTGTTGATGGGTAGATAATTAATTATTGATTGTTTCATTAATTTTATTTTGTTTAATTTATTTATATTATTATTTCTAAAGTGTGAACAGGAAATAATAATCAGCATTATTGCAATATTTTCTACACATATAAAAGAAATACATGAAAAGCGAAGCACACAATATCATACATACACTGCTAGGACAAAAGTCATGCGCACTCTTCACATGACAATTTATTTTTGCTTATTAGTAGCAGCTTAATTAATTTAGATTAAGATTAAATCTAATTTTAAATTTACAAAAAGAATAATTGATTATGATTCTTATTATAGTCTGTAAGTTATTTTTAATATAATAATTCAATCTAATTCAATCATATCTTTTCTTTCCATATATTCTAAATAATAAATATATTATTTAGTATTAGTAAATAGAATAAAGGGGGAGAGAAATGAATGACTAGAAATATTCACCTATAATTTTTTAGATAAGTTTTATACTCAACATCTTCTAAATCACATTGCCTAGTCATTTTATCATATTCTTCTAAACTTAACCCCATAATTGATGAAAGATAAGGTCTAATAGTTTCTATTGAATCATTTATAACTTGTCTGAACTACATAATTGAATAATATAAATAATAAAGAATATCTATTTGCAATCATATTAATTTATTAAAATTAATAAAATTAATATATTTAATATATTTAATATATATTTTACCATTTCACCAATTATACCATGACCACCTAATGGAAATTTTTTCATTTGATGATTAATTTCAATTATTTTATCAGTGGTTATTAATTTTTTTTCAATATATTTATAAAATGATCCAACTAGTATACCACGTGATTCGCGTAATTTTAGAACTATAATTTAATTGATAGAATTGTTAAGCAGCTTTAATAAATAACATTAAAAATAACATAAACAGCTTATTAAATGGTTATTTACGTTCAGTGACAAATTTTGTTGACGTTGGACCCATGGAACATGCCATGGGTTCACTTTCCTAATAGTAATAATAATAATGATGAATAATAAAGTTAATTATATAACCCATGCTTTCATTATTGTATTTTGTTATAATTACCATAAATTCAATCCAACCACCAGGTTTAGTTATACGTATCAGCTCATCAATTACAAAAGGCCATTGATCAGTTGTTAGTGAACCTAACATACTTTTTTGACGAACAAAATCAAAAGTGTCATTTGGAAATGGTAAACCATCAAATATATTATGTTCAATTATAGCCAGATTTGTTGGCAATTCTTTTTTAGAATCAATTACTATATCTATTCCAACAAATAATGATTTTGGAAATTCCTCTGCCATAAACATCAACCAAGTTGCAGGCCCACATCTGAAAGAATTATAATTAATTTATAATTATTAGATTGTCATGGGAGAAGTTTGATTATTTATTAAAATCAACCAATTTACCCAATATCTATTACAGATGCACCACCATTCTCTAATCTTTCTTTCACAGGAGAAGAAAATTTACCATTCCATATATGTTGTGATAAAATTTCTAAAATTTCCATTTTAGACATTGACTATAAATAATAGGAAGTTTTAGAAAGTTTTGAGAAGTTAACAATTAATTAACTTACAATTTACCTTGCGATCAACAGGCAAAAACTCACAAGATTCCTCAATATTAATAAATTTTCTACCATCAATAATTTTAAAATTCTCAAGTGTCAAATCATCGTCATAATCATCATCCTTTTCTCCTTTGTTATTATTTTTGTTTTTTTCTTCCTTCTTATTTGAATGAATTTCTAACGGATGCAAATTTTTACGATTCATTGATATCAAATTTTTTTTGTAATTTTGGATTTAGAATTGTTAAAATAAATTTTTTCTTTTTTTTTTTTTTTTTTTTTTTTTTTAAAGAATGAACGTTATCATCACTACTATTACATTTTTGGTAATATCCCGGATTTTCGTATTAGATTAAAGTTGTATTGGTAGTATGTACGCATAATATTAATTATTTAATAAGGACGACGAAAAAACTAACTTTTTTTGACCAGAAAGTAGAAATCAGAATTGAAAGCATTTAATATTTGATTTTGATTTCTAACAGCTCATAATTATTTAATTTCATAAAATTAACATTTATTGGTCGATCCCTTAATCCAAAACGAGCAAACTACCACCATCTTGGCCGGAATTGTGATCTTTAGAACCTTCTTCACTATATTGAATTATTATGCAAATAATTACACTGACAAAATTCTCGTTACTTAAAGGTTATAAATATTTAGTCTGGAAATATTCAGCCTCTATCATTGTTATTTTATATGGAAGCCCATTGTATGCAACTTGGATTTTGTATACATGAAAAATATAAAATGATGGTAAATCACGTGATTTTATTTCCAAAGTTAAAGAGAAAGAAGAAAGATATATATATATAAAGAAATACGAGGAAAAAGATGGAATTTACGATTAAAAAAGAACACGAAGAAAATATTTTTGTTAAAAAGAAAAATGACAATGATGATAAATAATAATAATAAAAGCAAATGAATTAATTGGTGTAATAATTGAAAGGAATTTTGCGGTGGTAGCAGTGCTGATAATTTGGCAATTTGCTCTTAATGAAAGTCGCTTAAAATGAACTCAAATCAACTGGAACAAACGGTGAACAGTCGATCCAAGCACGATAGATAGATAGAAATGGGTATTTTTAATAACCACTCCACTCCGGGGTACATTAAACAGTACTGCATCGTTAAAATTAAAAAGATCATATGCACTGATTTTGTTTGAACCCCAAAATTCAGTACGGTGTGATCATAACGGTATGAATATTTTATACTAACAAAAACCATTGGTTTTGAGGTGGGGGCCATTGGTTTGATGTAGTGATGTTAACCGTCTAAAAAAAAATTTCTCTTGGCATTCATTTTTACGTCTGAAATTTTAGTGCAGAATTCAATGGCATAGAAATTTAGTTGAGATGGGTCCATCTACATTACTTAGAATGTCAAAAAAAACATACATTTACTCAAAAAGCAAAATACAATACATCATAGCAGGATAAAAGTCATAGAGTTTCTATTCGTAATACAAATTCTTATTTTAATTCGATTATTATTGTATCATTATTCGTTTTATTCGAATTATTCGTTTTATTGGAACTATTAGTTTTATTCAAACTATTCAAATTATTCGTTCTATTCATTTTATTGGAAATATTCGTTTATTCAATCTACTCGAATTATTCGTTCTATTCGAATTATTCGAATTATTCGTTTTATTCGTTTTATTCGAATTATTCGAATAAAACTTTCAATGTAATTTGAATACTCAAATTCATAACGAATAAAACAAATAATTTGAACCATTAAAGACGAGATATTATAATAAAAATAGTAAATAATGGTAATAATAATAACGATAGCAGTAGTAATAATAATATCGATAAGCTTAGCATCATCTGGAAAGGTTTTTTCGTCAACTGGGATTTCTTAAGTTCTTAGCCGTCTAAAACTTTTCTATCGGCTAACGTCACAAGTTTGACGGCTGTTGAATAATATTATAGTTTTTTTTAGCGGAGAAAATAAATTTTTTAGGGTTAATTATCATTCTACTGACCGGTTTGCACGTTAAAAATACTCGTGTTTAACGTCGATACACAATAAGATATAAGGTTTGAAAAAGGGGTTCAAAAAACCAAATCGGCCGATATGTAAATATAACTAAATAAGCAAATATTGTTTAAAACAGTTGTTTTAATGAAAATAAAAACATGCAAGTCATATGCTGAAAGTTGAATAAAATATAAATAGTAATGGAAAAGAGGCATGTGATATGTACAGTAGCCTTTAACTGACTGTTTGGATATTGAGCGAATTGCTTTTCAAATAAATTTGGGTAATTTCCATGATTAATATCTATTCCTTTCAACAAAATAACTAACATGCTCATAATCCTTTAAATGTTTATTTCAAGTTTATTTATTAAAGTCATGATGATGACAATGTTCTTGGTTTATTATCTTTACCTATGTTAATACTAATGACATTCTATTTGTTATCATTTGGTCAGCGTTTTCATGAGGCGCAAATTATTCTTCCGAAATAGAATAAAAGATTATGGTGTTGTGTGCAAATTTGAAAGCGCGTGAAATATAATCTACATTGTCAAACTTTTCTTAGAGTAAATGTGGTCAACATAGGTAATTATTGATAAAAAATTCACGTTTTCATCAAGAAATTTTTTCTGATGTAATTATTACACTACTTCAATCAGAAGTAGAAGTCTTTTCCCCATTTTTTGTAAAAAATCAATTTTTAAAAAATAACTTGCTTTTATCATACTTGGAACATCGTTATTCTTTTCTTTTCTTTACTGAAACAATTTTGTTTGCAAATAAATTAATTTTTTTTTTCAATTAAAATAAAAAGCTTACTTTTTTTAGGTGAAGAGCTAAAACCATAATCAAATGAAGGCATTAATTACAAAAGAATATTTTTTATTATTTAAGAAAATTTTTTTGGTCTGATATTTTGTCAAAAAAGTAGTAATAAAAATTCTGTCATATTAATCATTAATCATAAAACAAGTTAATAGATAGGAAGAACCTTTAGAGAATTGTAATTATTTCTGGTTTATGAAAAGTCTGAAATTATTATTATAATTTTCCTAAAAGCAACTCTTTTATTAATGATCGATAATTTTGAGGATAAATAAATATTTCAAGAAAATTGCAAGCTTGTGAGAACTAAACTTTTTTCTTTTACTAACGCTGTCCTCTTGAATAAAAATTTCCACAACTGTTCTAATATCTTTTCTATTAAACATAGTCCCAAGTTTTCCTGGTCAGTATCCATTATTAAATGTGAATATTTTGTTCGTGCAAAGAGATTGTAGTTGGTATTGGAAGCTAGTAATGATCCATGCCGAGGTATTCTCATTTTTGTTTATTATTATATATACAGTATGCATTTAAAAAGCTTTTTACCGCCGATTAAATTTTTCCATTTTAAACATTAACGGTTTTTTTAAATAATAATTTCACGTTATTATTGTTTATTATTATTTATCTTACTACTAGTTTTTTTCGTCGTTATTGCTACTATTAAATTTTTTTTATGGATGGTTGTTCTCTCGAAATGAGAAAAATCGTCAAAAAGATTGTGGGTTATTATTATCTGAAAGGAAAATTTGGGTGATTTAAAAAAAATATTCAAGTCAAATACGAAGCCATGCAAATTTCTGCGCCACAAAAATTAAATCAAAATCTAAACTCGACAAGTCGGATGCAGCAATCAGTTGCTTAAAGTACTTGATAATATAAATAGACAACTGACTTATCGAGTTTACATGTACAAATTAAACATTTGTCTATGGCGCGCCAGTCTGCATTATTTGTCATTTTTATCTCTGTTTTAAATGATTTAATATGAAAAACTTAAAATGCTGTTGCACGAATTGAATCGTTTTTCGAAAAAATATTACAAATTCAGTATTAGTATTAGTATTAGCAATCAAACTTTTGCTTAAAGTAGGCTCTATCTGTGATATTGTTACATATTACAGTACAGTATTAATATTTTTTCGGGAAAAAAGTGATTCAATTCGTGTACAGCATTAAAATATTAATTTATTTGTTTGCTTTCTTGTACTAAAAAGGAAAAGAAATTAATTATCTTATCATTTGTTCCTTATAATCAATCATTTTTGAATAATAATTTCTCACTAGTAAATCATTTCATTGCACAAATAAATTAAAAAAATGTTTTCAAAAACCTTACCATCTGAACTTTTAATCCAAATATTCAAATATATTAATAATGATGATTATAAGACACTTTATTCTTGCATCCTAGTTAATCGATGCTGGCACAATACCAATATTTCAATTTTATGGGAAGACCCATTTAATTGTGGAAAAAGCACCAAAATATTAATTAATTGTTTGTTAGTAGAAGATAAGAATTTCTTGGTGGAAAATGACATTGAATTGGCCTTTGAGCTATTGGAAAGGCCACCATTGTACAATTATGCTAAATTTGCAACTATATTAAATCTTCGGAAAATGGATTTGTATGCCATTAATAAGTTTTTAATACGTGAAGCAGATAAATATGAATGTCTTTTAAATAACTTACTAGAATTTATTATAGATTATGCAACTATCAATGAGATTTTGGGAATTGATTTGGAGTATGGACGGTTGATTAATAATCATCATAGATTCAATACTTGTTTTCAAAATCTTCACAAGTTAGATTTTTTTTTTTACCTTGGTAATAATAATGGTGCTGAATTCTTTGACAAACTAGCTGATACATGTAAAAATATCAAGGTTTTGAAATTAGATAATGTTGGGGGAGATTTTCTAAATGATAATAGTAATGTTGGTTATAGCTTAGCCCAACTAATTAGAGCACAAAATCAAATTAAAGAGTTAGCTCTTAACACACACCATGATGAAATAGTTTTATCTGATAATCTCAAAGATGCAATATTAATTCATTCAAATTCGATAACAGATTATGCAAGTCATGGAGAAAACAAACTAAATTATTTATTGATATCAGCTTTTCATGAGCTAAGAAACCTAAAATTATTAAAGAATACTAATTCAAAATGTTTAAAATCTATTTTATTTCCAAAAATTGAATGTTTACATGTAGATATTTATAATCAGCAATTTTTATCAGATTTATCATCTTTTATCAAAAATAATGGGAAAACTCTTAAATTTCTAGATATTAATAATTATAATTCAGTTGAGAGTAATTATTTAGGAAAGCTTATTTGTTCAATTGGTCAACATTGTCAAAACTTAG